GTTTCATTCGTTGTTCAAAGACATCAAATTACGCCTGGGAAAAAAATGTCAACAGCTTGGTCACCACCTCTCTGCAGAACTATCCCCACCGGGCTTACTTGGAGACTTTGTTGAGTTTCGGTAAGGGGGCCAAGAACGATCACCTGTCGAAACAAGTCCTGTGGGAAAAAGACACCGCCAATCAGTTCGATTCCACGAGATCCGTCGCCACCACTGTGGACGGTGTACGACATGCGCCGAATAACAAAGGATTGGAACAACGTCAGAAAGTCATCGCTGCCAGTCGCACCTTTGAACTGCAGTCACGTCTACACTTGGACATGTGTCTACAAGATCGGTATTTGATTAGCGATTGAAGATAGAAATTGGAAAAACAGTCCCCGAAATTTTTTCTGATGTACAGCGAAGGCAACTATGCAGAAGACTACAAAGTCGAGTTCACCAAAGCCTACCTGGATATCCCGTTCGTCACACTGGCTCCCAGTACCCGGACACACATCGAACAGCAAATTCAATCACCTGAATCGCTTGGTGGTCCGAGACATGGTCATCCTAGGTAATCTGTTCGACAAGGAAATCCTGCCGAAGAGACTGATTGTGGGGATAATGCGCAACACGGCCTACGACGGAAGAAAAAACAGAAATCCGTTCCATTTCGAACACAATCAATTGGAAAACATCAAACTGACCAAGCACGGGGAAATCGTGAGCGAATACGACGTGAACTTTCCCCAGCGACAAGCCATCGCACCCTACATGGATTTGATGAAAAGGGTGGCCGTCTTAAACACCAGAGAAGACCTAGACCTCCCTTTTCACGACTATATCAATGGGTACACCCTGTATTGTTTCGATTTGACCAACGACCACGGAGCCGACGGTAACTACTTTCATCCGAAAGAGACACGTAACCTGTCTTTGGAACTCAAGTTCGGTGCGGCCCCGACAAATCACCCCAGTCTTGTTCTGTTTGCCGAATACGACAATGTCTTGGAAATCGACACGAGTTTTAAAAAAACATCTCCCCTCTATCGTTTTCGGGGGCGTGTGGGCTCGTAATCACCTGGATATACTGCACCCGACCTCGTATCCCAAAGCCCACGTCATCAACGCGGACGACGAAGACCAACCGGGCAAACATTGGACCGTGTTTGTGTGCGAAGGGCCAGATCACGTCACCCTGATATCTATGGAGAAGCCTTTCGACGTTTCGTTCAAGATCAACAACTCGACTACTAACCCAGATGGATTCAAGGACTCGACAGTGTCGTGTGCGGACATTATTGCTTGTATTTTCTGTGTCATCGATTTCACGTTCCTTTCCCATACCCCCTTTCCGTTTTCGATCGCGTGTATCATGTAAACGATATACTGGTCGAACAATGGGCTAGGGATCATTTTCCCAGCTTGAAAATTCGTTTTGTTTAAAATTTCTCTTTTGCCATGATAACTTTGTAAGTTTTCGTTTGATTTCTTTTGTAACCATAAAATGTTCAATAAAATGCCTTGTCGACAACATATCACGTGTCTGTTTTTCTTGTGACGTCATGTTTTTCTTGTGACGTCATGCTATTCTGATTGGTGAAAAATGGTATCGTCCCAACACATTAGACTCGCCCTGTCCCGAGCCATAAATAGGAGTGTCGAAGCCAGAGATGTAACAAGCAAAATAGATCGAAAAGATAAACGATTTTGCACAACTTGTGGGGGTTAATACCTTTTCAGGGCCAACATAATCAATGCAAAAGAGTTGTTTCCCCTTCCTCCCTTTTTCTCCCTCCTTCTTATTTCTGTCTTTTCTTCTTCTTTCCTCCTTCTTTTTCTTCTTCTTCTTCTTCTCTCTCTCTCTCTATCTCGCTCTCTCTCTCTCTCTTCCCGTGTGCGCGCCCCTCTCTTTCTCGCCCTCCTGTCCCGACGAACTAGGTCGGGTCACTCACTGCAAGGTCAGGTCACGACGAACTAGGTCACTGGTAAACTAGGTCAAATGTCATTCAGTGCAAGGTCACGGGGCCAAGGCCAAGGTAACGGGGTCAAAGCTAAGTTCACGGGGCCAAGGTCACGGGGGTCAAAGGTCAGTGCGTCCCGCAACAGGCCCCCTAACTACTGGGTCGATAGTTATGATTTTAAAACCAAAATTTTATATTATATTTTATTATTCCCCCAACTAGTATGGTTTTCTGGACAAATCTGGGTTTTAATGTTAACTGGAAATTAGCTTGGGATTACTTATATCGTGTGTTTAAAAATCCAGATTTAATTCAGTTGGATTTTAAGATTTTGCACAACATTTTATGGACCAAAGAGAAATTGTTTTTCATTAATAAAGTAAATCTTTGTCCAGTATGTAATAATTCTGTTGAAACGTTGCTCAATTTATTTGTTGATTGTCTAGAACTCAGGGTTTTATTTGATTTTATCGAAGGTAAGATAATATATATTTTTAGGGACGGTTATACTGTTGAGCAGTTTAAGTATCGGTTTTTATTTGGGACCCTCTAGAAGTCATAATTTTATCTGGTTTTGATGAAGCTTAAAATATGTTTATATCCCGAACATCTAGATTCCTGTAGATTCACGCATATCGGACCGTAACTTCCTTGATTATGTCCCCTGATTGTACGAAAAATCGTTTCATTTTTTTTTTGCCTTGTTCTCTGTCCATCTCTTGAAAAATGTGGGCGTATCTTGCATGGTAACCACATGTTTAAAGAAAATGTCAAACTTTAACATCGGGTAAAATGTTGATGGTAAACCATTAACTAAGCCATTTGATGCTTACAACAATCGGTCTGTAAACATGAACATGAAAATGAACACAATAGGCCGTAGTTTTAAGAATAAGTCTCTTATTACCGAAATGACCCGCGACCAGGGTCAAATTATTAGTATTTGAAAATGTCGCAATTTCGAATTTTACCTTTGACGTTTTTCTTGCCTACGAAGTTGTTTACGAGTGAAAAATTGCATGAACTTCGCGAGTTTTTTACCGATTTTAATGATTACTTTTTCTTGTTGAGATTGTTTATATAACCCATGACATGTGACAGGAAGTGACCGTGAATATTAAAAAGCTTTCATATCTGCCTGGCAGATCTAGTTATTATTATTATTATTTTGTTTTTTGCCGATTTTAGTCAGAAGTTGCAGCCAAAACTGTGCACGGTGCAAACATTCTACCAACGTAGGCAAAGTGTGCCACCGTGCAACTTAATATTAAACATAAATTGGGTCATTTTTGACAAACAGGAAGCGTTTAACGGATGGGACAAAAAGCAATCCCAGATTGCCCATATTATATCGGTTATTTCTCAACGGGTCTTCTTTGGGTTTTCAGTTTTGGCGTCTTTGGACGAATCCCTTATGGAATCTGATTGACGGTTTTTCGAAATCGAAATTTCGCTCGATTAATATTAGCTTCAAAGATTTGCGAAAGTTTTCTTCGTCATTTTTTCGACATTCAAGATGGCGTATCTCCGTCACTATTTGATGTATCAAGTTGATACTTGGTTGGAATAAGGAAAACATTAATGCCTTCACAATGGCATATTGAGAAAGTTTGTGACGGCTTTCGGAAACTTTTGGAAATTACCGAGGCCTTCCGATTTTTCGCGAACATGAATAGTTCTCTCCATTTTCAAAATAGACAAAAATGGCATATAGTGGTTTTAGCCCCAGATATTATCTTTCGTTTTCAAAGACCTTGTTCAATAACATTTTCAACCGCTTGGCCGCCATATTGAATTTTACAAAAAACATTCAAATTGATATTCCGCCGCCATTTTAATTCCGATTTTCGAAAACGTGTTTTTTTTGTATTGAACCTATTTCAAATTCTTAAGGAGCCGATTTTTGAATTTCGATTTTGTTTACTTCCGGTTTCACCTTGAATTATAACTTTCGATTTTATCAACAGTTCATAATAACAGGTTTTTCTGCTTTAATAGGTATCGGATGTTACTATGCTAAATAATTTATGGTGCAACTTGTTTGTTGATGTGACAATGCGTGACCTGGCGTACCGAAACCGGTCAGTACTCTTATTATTATTATTATTATTTTATTATCAGTCATTGATACCAAAACCACACACTAGTTTCAATTCTAACTTGCAATATATTCGTCTGGTCTGTTATTGAACAGATTTTCTAATATTTACAAATTCATATTGTCGTTATGATTATTCCGAGCAGAACGAAGTTAAGAGGCGTGGGGGCGGGGATTTTGAAATTGACTACGCCCGTCTGTCCTTCTGCCCCGGTATTTCTCCCATGGCAATTCCGGGGAGCCATTGGAGATATATTTACGAAACTGTGTACACACATCCAATCTAAAATAGTAGTTATACCTTTTCTAATTACACATTTCTCAGTTAAACCGGTGAATATATGTTTATGAAACTGTGTACACACAACTTTTTATGTTTTTTGCTAATTACAGTTTCTCAGATTTGTTTACAAAAATTGTTGACTTCGGTATACATGTACAATTTGTATTGCGGAGAATATATGATATCTTTACGAAACTGTGTTCACATATATCAGCCGTTCGTTTTCGCATTCAAAAATTCTCAGTTGAATAAATATTCTACTGTAACACATTTTGGTATGAAATTATTATTCTGGAGCACACCCCCAGAAGACATTCAAGATGGCTTGATGGATCTTTATAAACGTTTGTGTTCAAACTTACATCCTTCATACAATTAGTACTGTGCATATAAACTATTCGGTCATTTGATACTTTGATACCGTAATTTTTGAAAAAAATGGGACTGGTAGTTTTTAACAGAACTCAATGTATGTCCACGATAACCATGTAGCATAATTTGGGAAGCCTTATATTATTTGCTATACATTATATAACTAGTAAAGAACTAGTATTTTGTTGTTGCTTACCAGTAGCACGGAGATTGGGTACCTCTTTACCTTCCAAAACATGTCTCAATTACGAGAGATATTTGTGAATTTTAATATTGTGGTTAACGTCTGTAATAAACTTACCATGAGCATCTTGGGACGTTATCTAATCCGGATTCCGAACATAATCTGTGTAAAAGCTTCGATAAATGTTCTCTAGCATCTGTGCCCAATCCTTCTATGGATATTTCGCCCGTTATTTCTGGTAGAAATATTTTTTCTTGGGGTAAGTAATCTTTCTCTGGTAGATTGTATGTTTTTTCTAGCCCTTTAAAATACATAATGGAAATGGATAATATAAGTGCTTTACAGATTTTATCGTGCAATACTGACAATGTTTATTGGTATACATGTTGTTGGTTCGTTTTGGTGATTTTGATTGGTTTACATCATGACGTTTTAACTAAAAAAAACTGAAGTAAACAATGGATGAAACCTAGTGTTAGAAAATCTTCATATTGGAAATAATGGCGTAAGCAAACAATCCATGAATAATTATTATATTGTTTGATGATTAGAATCGAATTTCTTTGACCCGATCAATGTTAAATTAAACTTGATATTAACTCAAAACCTGATGCTAACAAGGTTCAAAATATTTTTAATCCTACATTTAAAACAGTGAAGTAAATGTAGAAAACAAACACAAGATGACGACTTCACGCTTGCGATAGTTTGTATGGAGCGGAAATTAATCTATACAGATGCATATGTTTACACTAAAATGTCTTCTATAATGAAATTGTTCAAGTGAAATAAACGTATAGATAAGATCAATGTTAGGTGATGCGCTCCATTACCATATTTACACACTTCTAATGTATTTAATACATAAATCATGTATCTATTGTTATATAGTAAATAATCATATGTCAAGTACTGATTGCTCTAGTCGTTTTATATAGTTAGTTTCTTAAACAACCCTATTTCAATTCATTATTAATTGTACACGCTAAAATAAAAATACGCCATCTCACAATTGTGTGATTCCAGGAACTATGCCGATATAAAGCACTATAAAATGAAAAGCCTAATCAAAACCGGTGATGAAATGACAGTCCGGCGTCATCATTTTTCATGAATAATTAAGGTTTATGTCTAAAGGATAGGTTACAACCGATGAAACATAAGCAGACCAGTAGCAGGCTAGAACATTTTATACACATTGTCACGATTTTAATGTTCAAAAGTTTTGAAATTTTGTTCAGAACTGTAGCAATTTTAATGGCAAAATATTTCAATGTCGTTTTGTCCCGTGACTTTATATATTTAGATATCAGTAAATTTCAAAAGTTTTAACTTGGCTTCCACAAAATATATTCCTACGTTATGCACCTGCACTTGCGAGAGAGTTGCGCATTGGCTAAAGTAGGGAAACTTTCATCCCCGTGTTCCAATTTACCCAGCTGCAGGTAAATTAAATGGCCATCGAAACTTCTGAGTGATGCTAAGAAATATCCGCTAAAGAAAGGTAAGACCATCACAGCAAGTTCTGTGTACCGGGACGATGCAAATGAAATGAAATGTTACTGTAGTTTAAGTCATTATGTGACTCCCATAGCCTGTAGAAACAAGAAAGACGTAAACAGTATATTACTTTGTACATTACTATTTCAGATTATTTCAGACACTTGCTTACTCAATAAAAATTGTTGAAATGACCTACATGTAGTTTGTGTCTAGTTGATGTTAAACCATATATATATATATATATATATATATATATAGAGAGAGAGAGAGAGAGAGAGAGAGAGAGAGAGAGAGATATTGTTAGATTTTGGAGCGATTTCTTTTGCTTTTGTTCATATCAAATTTAATGAATGTTTTGATATAATTATATGCCATCACGATATTAGGCATTGAAGTAAGAATTAGAAGAAAGTTTAGATGTTATTTTGTCAAGTTTTTCCGATTCAATGAGAATGTTTGTGTGGAATCATATTTTAATTCCCCAAGTAGTACATAATTGCATCTAATGCCTTTGCTGTTGTTAGCAGGGGGAGGGGGGTAGCAATGTTGTTTTTCTTTTCGAACCAGGAGCTGGGCCCCAGACGCTAATCACCTTATTGTTCTTCCAGGAGGCGACGCTAACGAAAAAAAGCCTAACGCTCCACCAATCCAGTACCTACAACATGAAACATGACATGCTTATTTTGTCTACTTCGATTCCGAGATGACTGCAATGGCGCCAATATAAAGGAACAGATATTACTCAAATCTGACAATTAGAAGATGAATATTCAGGTTTATTGACGCCTAGAAAGCCAGTCGTCAGATAACTTAGCCTACTCCTATATGTAAAATCTATGACATGTTAACACCTACAATTCTTACCTCTGTGTAGGAAAAGGGATAATGTTGGATCTATTCTCTTTCCAAATCTTCCCTGTGGACGCCATTGTGGAGCACCATTCCCAACAGTGAGCGTCACCAATAGTACCGCCATTACGCACAATATCATTTCTGACAGTTTCATGATCTGAAAAAGACGATAATGATCCAGAACAGTTCAATTAGGCGTTTGTATAAATCCAAAATTTGTTCCACGTTATTAAACTGTAGTGTGAAGTTTCGGAATCTCTTTACAACGATAATAGCAAGTAAAACAGCAACTCGTTCAAGGTGAAATATTTCAACTTATTTGATTTTCTTTTGAATCCGCCATTACACTGTATTTTCAATAGTTTCACTAAAGATTAATCTTTCAATAATATTAATGCATTATGTATGCATGTACATTTGTAAAACACTATTTGCCTTAGCTAGATTTTTTTTATTTACCCCCCCCCCCCAGAAATTATCTAGCTAACGTAGTATTGATATTAAAATATGATTCCTTTTCAGATGTTAGTACTGTACTTTGTACTTACAGATCGCGTTCATATTTTCCGAAAGTTTTAGATAGTAACCCACCCAGTTGGTACAAAAATGTCATTATTAGCTTTTTGGCCAACTAGAAAGTTGAAAATTATATTATCGCCAGGGCGACTGTATTTCTGTTCTTCAAAGAAACTTTATAAATATAAACCTTTAATTATCAAATGTTAATCCTACATATTAAATCCACATAAAGAATACGGTGATTTATCTTAATTAAAATGTTTTGTTCTCTTTTAATAGTCCCATGTGACTGTTTATTGGTGACGTGGGTATGCAACTACTAAACATGATTAATGAGACACATATGACAGAAAGTTCATGTCAGCTGAGCTTCCACACTATAATCATTACTCATTAATTACTCATATTAATGCTATATAGCTACGTGATATGAGTTATCAATAATTCGTGTTTTCAAACTTCTACACTGTAATTTCATGCTCTTTGTCTCATTAACAAATTATTATGTTGATTTAGGGAAAGTTTTAGATCCCCATCTTTGGTATTTACGGAAATCAATCGTCTTTTGCCATATAAACCAGTCCTCTTCGAGTTTCCTTCTCCATTGCCAAAACTAAGATCCATCGTTAACGGTTAGATTAAAGGGCACATCTCAGATATTTCCGAGATATCTTTCAGATATGTGTATACACATAGCGTAGCTTTTGCCTATAAGACAATTCTGGAATTAAATTTTTACCCCTCTCCGCAGGAAGGTCGGAAGAGATATTGAAATGGCCCCAGCCGTCCGTCTAGGTGTTGTTATTGTTCGTTAACAACCCCAACAAATTTCATCAAATTGAAGCTGAGGCGTATTGTAATAGTTAGCAATTCATTATATATTTCAAATCTTATAACACCTCTCTTGTTGTTTTAGAGATTACTCTATATGCTGCCTTAATTAGATGAATTCTGGTATAGGCTGTATTGGAGTATTAGCAAGAAATGTGATGGCAGCATCTTAAGTTACAAACAATACACTTTAATTAGTGTTTTAACTAAAGTGGTTGCTATGAACTAGTTCCTAACTAGTTGCTAGGAATGCATAATGCTGCTATAAAAAGGAAGACATTTAGTATGCTCCTCTGTTTTAAATTTTTTTTATTCCTATAAATGGTTCAATTTGTGTTGCTGCTGGCTCTTCTTTTCTTTTCGGGTAACTTTTTAACTGTGGAGAGCCATACGCAAGGAAAACTCCAATGGAATGCCTACAACTTTTAAACTTGGAGTCTTGAACTCTTAGTTAATGGTTAACAACATGGAACATATCGGACGAACACTTTTAATATGTAAATAATCTACGGGTCCAGCTATTTGGTTTTTACTGCGAGCACTTCGCTTTTCCACATAAAGCCAGCGGATTCTTTTTTCCCAACGGTTTTTTTTTTATCCACTCTGATGACGCCTAACATCAGTCAGTTGGACCTCCTGTGTTAACCTTATTATGACAATGGAAGTAGACAACAGCGAATTTATAAGTATGCTTTAAGAAACTTTTGGTATCCGAGGACCTTTTTATTTTGTGTTTTTAACAATTTTCAAGTGTAAATATTTTAATTAAATCAACCTGTCCATAATATCATATTCATTGTATTGGACGTTAAATCTTTAATAAACAACAAACAACACGTATGCTCCTCGCCGCCGATATCACCCAAGGTGGAAGCTGACGTAAAATACAGTGTTGGTTTCATTTAAGACTTATAATCAGAGAACGTTAGCTTTTACAGTGTTGTCTATCAATGTATTTATCTCATTAAAGACGAAACGAAATAAAGATATACTTTTAATTATACAGATTGAATCTAGGTAGATTTATATGTTTAATTCCCTAATTCAATAATATTAAGGCCTAGAAGGGGATATTTATAACGAAATAAATCGACATATATAAGGGGTAAACGCCAACCGGTTTTTACCGTTCGCTAAATATATGATCTCCATCATATGGACATAAAGGCCCACTTTCAAGAATATGTGTATGTACCATATGGGTCACCCGATTGAATATTCATTCTTGCGGTCTAGAAGGGGATATTAATATTCACAGCGACAAATATGTTATTGGCGAACACGTCTGTAACACCCGATTGAATATTATTACAGCCTTGAATGGAATGCGTATGTTTTAGGCTGGGTTATCCACATATCCCTGTAGCAATGGCCACTGAAATCCCTTTCTAGCCTTTGTTGTACCGAGTGCTAAAACTTGGGTATTTGACGGAGTGTGTCTATTTTTATTTTCCAATCAAATCTCTCCTGAGTGCCATTGTTGAAAGTCGTATTTTTATCCACTTATCCAGTCTGTCTCTTTGATCTGGGAGCTTACCTAAAATTTAGGCCAATTGAATAAATGTATTATAAGATGGTGAAAAAAGTCTTCGTCGGCTGTGTGGTCTAACAGATAATAAAAACGATTCTACATGTGGAGATAACCCAATGTTTAAAGTAGCTAAATCTCTAACTCAATATCATCCAGAGTCTTCGACATTGAAAACACGAAAGGGGCATTATGGGAGATTAGATAAAGAGTTCACAGTTCTCGCTATAATAGTTAAAAAAAAAATAGAAAACTTAAAAAGAATATTCTGAAAATTGCTCCACTCTGAACCGAGATATTATCGATTGAATATTAGGCCTAGCCTCGATTATCATTACTAAAGTCGGTACGATAAAAAAAACAAAGTCTCGATTATTCATTTTAACGTTTAATCATTTTTCAAAAAATGTATTCCAATCCGCTAAATATCACAGGCTGGCGCTAGCATCGAGAGTTGATCATGGTCTGGATAAATCAATTAATGTCTAATTAATAATTTAGATAACATTTCAGGCCTAAAGAAAGACCTGCACTCGGCAGATTTAGCTCTCGCATAATGTATGTTTAAATCAGCATTGATGTTGTCATCCTACCGGGAAAAGATATGCTTCTGATATCCAATATTTAAGACAAAATAAACATTTTACCACGAATCTTGTGAGAAAGTTCGCCTCAAGTCTATTTCGCTTGGAAATAAACTCAAATTAAATGAGGCCATAAAACTAGCCCGTATACAGGAATGCACAAGCCAACAGATGAAGCAAATGGGTTCGGATTCGAATGGTGCTTCATCTGCTTGTAATTCCGACAATTCTGTCCATAAAATTAAGAGGAATAATAATTATTATGCTCAACCTCACAATTCTAAATATAGAAATACCCAGCGACAACCAAAGAAACACATCAAGAGACATTCACACAATACAAATCTCCATCAGAGACAAGAGCAACAAAGGCCAAATAATGCCTACAGTGGTTCAAATAATCAATGTCCATTTTGTGGGGAAAATCCTCATCCAAGAAGAAGATGCCCAGTCAGCCATCAAAAATGTACAAAATGTCGTAAATTTGGACACTTTGCTAATGTTTGCATGTCAGAGCGAAATCATGTACACACAATTGAGCAAAATGGTGACGATAAACATTTTGACATGGGTTTGAACAATTTATTCATTTCAAGCATCGATAATGGGGGATTGGATGGCCGAATGGTTAGCACGTGCGCGCTGTACCGTAAGGCCTGTCATTGAGTCAACTGGCGTGGTTTCGAATCCCCGGTTGTACGAGTAGGGTACCCTGTCCAACCTCGTGGGTTTTCTCCGGGTCCTCCGGTTTCCCCCCATTATCGAAATATTAAAATAAAATTAAACAATATGTTAGTCCCGAAATTACCTAGTTTCTGTCGAGTGGACGGTAAACCCCATTTCTCTCTCTCTCTCTCTCTCTCTCTCAAGCATCGATAAAACAGAATCGCACAAATCTACACAGGATTTGCATAAAGCTGGATCAAGATCTTATATACGGTTGCCAGTCAAAACCCATATACAGCATAAGCGATATACTCGTTTGAAAATGCAAATGCACACAGGTGCTGAGGCAGAAGTTCTACCTGTAAAGATATACAGACAATTGTTTGGAAGCAATCATAAACTCAAACCGCCAATAGTGTCCCTGAAAGCATATGGTGGAGCAGCGATAAACAATTTAGGAACATGCACTTTATATGTTCGTCACATATCCTATCCAGTTCAACGTCACAACAGATGGCGGTCCTATCATATTAGGTTTTGCCACCTGCCAGAAAATGGACCTGATCAAGGTGAATTTTTCAATCCAAACAGAAAATCCAAAATCAATCACCAGAGAATCTTTGTTACAAGATTATGGAGATGTTTTTCAAGGGATATTTCTTTTCCCTGGAGAGCCATATAAAGTCCGTATGAGGTCAGACGCCATACCTGTCATAAATCCTCCACGTTCCGTAAGTGTTCATCTCCAAGAAAAGATCCAGAATGAACTTCAACTTATGCAAGATATAAAAGTTATACCCAAAGTCGACAAACCGACTGAGTGGGTCAATTCCTTCGTCATTGTTGAATAAGGCAACGGGAAAGATTTAAGAATATGCTTAGATCCCAGAGACCTAAATCAAAACATCAAACGTGAACATTATTATACTCGCACGATTGATAACATCATACCAAAACTATCAAATGCCAAATATTTTTCAGTTCTTGATGCTAGATCCGGTTACTGGATGGTAAAATTGGATCAAGAAA